AAAATTCTACAAAAATTCATGTGAGTTTCTTATGGCCAGAGTAGTCTTAGGAAATAATTTCATGATTTTTTTAAAATCAAAACATCACTATTTTGAGCAAATCCCAATTTGCTTAAAACATTTAATTTGGAAAACATAAAAATCAAAATCATTTGATTTTTGTTTTTCAATGTAACTTATAAGTCAAAGAATTCACCATAAAAATTTCAATGGATTTTGAGATCATTTGATATTTTTAATTGATTTTTAAAGATCATTATTAAATTGAACACTTAAATAATTTTTAAAAATCAAAATATAATTCTAAAAATTGCAAGTCACATACTACCATGATATTTTGCGTTGTTGAGCCACTACGACCAATGTACCCCACCTTATCCTGACTGGGTAGTCGGACATCAACGTGAGTGCCATCAATTGCACCTATGTAGTTCTATTTCACGTGCCTTAGAAAATATTTATATTTTGGTGGTAACGTAAAGAAACTAATATTTACCTTGAAAAAAGGCATGTAACGGTGATCATTGGCAATTTGTGCTGGAGTACTAGCAAATGTTGGATCCTCTGGCTTAATGATTTGAACTGCCAAGTTAACAAGTGCCTGCATATCTTTGGAGAAGAACGACTTACTGTTTCTGATCAATGTTGAAATCTCTGATAGCACCTCTTATTGATTAGTTCTATGACAGAATGTATAATGTTATAGCAAACACCTCTTTTCTCGTCATTCAGGAAGAACCTTGAAGGCCTTGTTTCAAAGCAAACTCGTGCAGGAAATCCATAAAAATAGGTACGGTCATTCGAACTATGTTGTTGAACCTTATTGGATGTCCAGAAAACATCTCACATACCCATTTATCTATAACAAAGCTAAACGTCACATGGGGTATATGAAGACTGCAGGATCGGTAATACTCCAGATGAATGGTGGGCCCATACCATTCATCTGGACGTCACATGGGGTATACAAAGTCTTCGTATACTGCAGAAGGGAGTTAAGTGGGTTTATTAGAAAAAAAAATTATAAATCAAAATTAGAGTATAAATATTACCTCCAATTTCTTAGCCCACCATTTATCTGAGGCATCAATTGTCCGCTTAATGAGATTTCAACCCAAACTGGTAGATCCATGTTTGAGCTCTTTCCAAATTTTCCACTCATTTAATTAATCCCATTTATTTTTGTATTTGAGCCTGTCGTAATCCCTTCCTGTCAATTCCTTAAAACCTTTTGGCAATATTTTGCCAACCTTCCTTATTGAAATACATGGTTGACCTATTATCCATTTCAATTTATGTAATACAGAGATTTCAAAAAAATTGTCGTAACCTCCTTATCCCATATAACTGACGGACCACCTTCATTTGTCTTAGTCATGTTGGAACTATATGAAGAATTGCAGAAGCATAAAGAAGATCATATTCGAAGCTAACATGCATAAGAGAATGATTGAACAAGTAATTGCAGAAGCATAAAGATAATTATTTATCATGTCCAACTGAAGTACAAAAAGAGACATGCCACAGTTCCAAACCTATGAATACATGCCAAGAAATCTCTCCATTTACATGCTTAGAGAATGTCAATGGGAAAAGGAAGAGCATATGCAAATTTGAATGCAAGATCATATGCATAAAGCTAACAATTCACCATTTACAGGTCAACCAATACATATGAAAAGCAATATCATATGCAACAACTACAGCTCAATTCCAATCGAAGTACAGGTAAGTAAAAAACTGAAATATTAAGGAAACCAAACTTCTGCCATGTCTGCCAAGATGATAAGGTATACATTTTTTATCCATAAGAGAACAAATAGAAATTGTGATAAAAAGAAGATTAAAAATATAAAATTAAATGAACTCAAGGCCTTTCACCAGTGTTGACCTCACTTTTGGTTGAGG